AAACAATGATCAATCTACAATTTAAGAAAAACATCATTGGAAAAAAAAAAAACAAAAAAAAAAAAATTATTTAATAAAAAAAATCACTATAAAAAAACAGAAACCACGATGCAATTATTAATCCACGAAACACTAAGACACTATAAAAACTCACAATGATCAATCTACAATCTAACTAAAACATAACTAGAAATATAAAAAAACTATCAAATTAAAAAAAATAGAAACAAAAAACTAATATCAATTAAAAAAAATTCACAGTAAAAAAACATGAACTACAATGCAATTACTAGTTCAAAACAAAGCATATCAACAACACTGAGACACTATAAGAACCACTTCAAACATAATGCTCAATCTACAATAAAAAAACATAACTAGAGCAATAATAAATAAAACTATCAAGTTTCTGTTTCTTTTATTATTATTATTTTTTTGCATTAGAAAACACAAATTATTGGTTAGAACAAGATGTTATATGACACTATATGATCTCAAAACAGATTGGTTAGAACATGATGCTAATATTTACTGTTACACACTTTAATTCATTTTGTAACCAAAACTGCACCAAATAGAAATTGCTAACTCAAATAAAATTGTAAAGCAACAAACATCCAAAAGTCATGATAAAAGTACTAAAACTACGTCAAAACAACATATAACTTCAAAATCAGACAGACTTGTTTCTAAAATTCAATCATAATTGGGGCTTAATAAATTCAACTTCAACAATTAGGTTGTAACCACAATAACAAATCAACAAACCAAAAGGCAAAGTCATCATGAAAGCAAGCAACTAAACAAAGTAAAGAAAGGCATAGCCATTGATGACACAATTGTATAATTTCCATTAACTTCAAAAATCATACCAATATCTAGTGATAAAACAATTTAGCCAATTATAATTAATTGGAAACTGCAATGCAATGTGCTAAACTACAATGCAGCACCTGTCTTGTCCATGTGAAATTCATGAATTGTTTAATCTCTGGTTACATAGAATAAAAAAATGGATGCATGTAAAGAACTGAAATGTATTTTTTTTTAAAACAATTCCATGTGAACAAGGAATAGAACACTTAAAAAAGGATGTCCTGATCCTATCCCCTTAATGAGGACTCACAGTGATACAAACCAAGTGGTACAATTTTTAGCAATTTGAATTGTATAAAAACCAATGAAGACAGAAAAAACAGACAATTTGCCATGTATTCAGTGACTACGAGATTCAGACCCAAAAAACAAGGGGATTAATCATAAATTTCTCATTGTCTTTTCCTCCTACGCCGAATCCACCGTGATTCGATCATTTACGAAAAATAAATTAATGTCACCTAAAATCCATGTTAAAGGAAAACAAAACAAAATTATGGCCAAAGGAATTTGTAACACTCCGACCCAATTTTAACTATTTATTTAAATCTTTTAATTCATTTGATTATGAAATTACAATTTTGCCTTTGGGATAGGGTCATTTTGGTCACTTTTTAATCCGGTAGGATTTTGGGAATTTGAATGGCACTGTTGAGTAGAGCACGTCGATGCGAGTTTGTAGACATGTAATGGGCTCAAATTGGAGTTTGAACGAAGAAGTTATGGTCAATGGAAGTACAGTGGCACAACCGTAAATATCCCAAAATCAGATTTTTATATGCCCAATCAGATCTCTCTCCCTATCTCTTCCCCCCCCCCTCCCCCATAAACCTCTCCCTCTCTCTCCTCTGTTCAACCGTGACGACCCCCGGCGATGCCCGACGAAGATTCCAGCGTCATCCGACCGTCTCCAGCCATGAAATTGGTCCCATTTTTTTCATCTCTCTCTCTCTTCTCTTTACATCCGTACCTATTTCCAGCATCAATTCCAAGTGACTAAACTAGAAAATTGAACGAAAAAGAGGCTCAAAATTGGCTCTGTCAAACCGTGACTTCCAACGATTTTTCAGGCCAACTCCAGCCACCATCGGCCACCAAGTGGGTTCCAAAACACTCCCCACCACCAGTCACCATCGAATCAAAACTTAGAAATTTCTAGTTTTTCGACGAGAAAATCGGCTGTTCGAGGGCTTTAATGGCTGAATTGATCTTCGAGCAAAGGTATAAAGTTACTCCCCTTGATGTGTTTGATATGTTGGTATGATTATTAGCCGGCGGTTTGGAGTATTTCGATCGCCGGAAAATTTCTCTAGACACTCGCCAGCGATGGCGGTGCATGGTGGTACATCGGCGGGATGTCAACGTTGGGTTTTTAACTAGAATGTTCCCCATGTTGTCTGGAGCATGATAGTATGCTCAGATTTGAATTTGGTTATTGTCTGACGATCGACCGGATTTACGTGTATTAGGCGTTATCCGGGTTTCAACCTCACCGATGGCACGCTTCTGACTAAATAAGGAATATTCTTGAATCAAGGTGTGAGTCATACCATAGTCATAAGAATAAAATCCTACAACCATGATATGATGAGAAATAGAGCCACAAATACACACTAAGATCTTTATCAAACGGTTGACTACTTAAAAATATTAATTACACAAATCAACAACAAAAGTCTAGTGGCTTGGTTGAAACCCGCTTCCTCAAACTTCGCCTTGAATCTTGCACAATCTATTAGGGTATGAGCATTCTAATGCCCAGTAGAGTACCGTCAAACCCCTCAAGATCAGCTATCACAGTTAATCAAAGTGTCATGCATCAAACAAAATAATATATATAAATTATGCAATTAAACTAGATAAATAAATTTGCATATGCGGTGATGCCATGAACTCACTCCCTTCTAATCCCACTAATTCATACTTTAGGAGAACAAGCATGTATGTCCCATACCATGTGTTTTACCATTGTGGCTCCAAATACCCTAAAATATGAACTAGTGGCCATCCGTCCCTTAACCCATTTTTCTTTTGTTTACAAATTTATCAACTTTCACTTTCCATTACAGGCCCTACTCCCATCACCTTAATATATTCAAGCCCTGCTCCCGTCACTTGAATATATTCCACTTTTTTTTTTCTCAGATATATCTAAGGCATTCTCCCACCCCTTAGATATACCTCAAACGACACACACACACCGACCCAACACACGACCATAATTATAATGCATATGTAATGCAACTCAAACATTATCAATCTCTGGAAAATAGTAATACAGATAATAACAATTGTCAAATAATATCCACAGAACAATATCATTAATATTATTCACCCAACATCATATAATATTCATTAAACAATGACAATCATATTCACCTAACATCAAATAATATTTACCAAGAAAAACAACAATACTATTCATATTTACAATACTATATATAAACACCAAGATTAAAAGTGATATAGTCTACTCATTGGGGAATCAGGAAACCCTACCTCACGTCCAACTAGTTAGATTACCGAATTACCCTTCCAATCCTTCAGTTTCCACTCGAGCTTTTCATCCTTCCAATTGCTTCAACACTTAACCATTTTCTTTCTTAATTCTCTCATGGATGTAATAGTAATAACCTCCATCTCCCTTATTTCCAAGTCTTCTTCTTCTTCTTCTTCTTCTTCTCTCTCTCTCTCTCTCTCTCTCTCTCTCTCTCTCTCTCTCTCACCAACAACTCACCTCCCTTAACAAAAAAAAAAAAAAAAAAAAAAAAAAAAATTCAGCTTCATTAGGAAGATCCCTTAGGCTAGGTGAGTCATAACTTTAGGCTAGGTGACTCACCACTTTAGACTAGGTGGCTAATCTTTTCATAATGGTGAATTTGAAAGCTTGAGGCAAGGGGGAAAGAATGGGAGAAGGGTGGGCTGATGCCCTCCATGTTTCAGATTCTTTTTTTTATAAGCCTACAAGGGTATTTTGGTAATTTTCACACATAGGGATATTTTGGTCATTTTGGCCCAAATTTCAGAAACGATTTCCTACGTGTTCGTTAAGTCAACTACTATCTGTCTCACTACAAAATCACTTGATAAAACACCCATAATCATCTTCACCATAATATTATTTTCACTGTAATATGAAAATCCACTTTGAATTTTTCGGGGTATTACACCTGTGGCCATTCGAATTTACTTGTTTCAGTTTGTGGACTTGTCTTGTACATGCTGAACGTTTGGGTTTTAAATTGTGCTTCTACATGTGGTGTTTTTGGGTTGAGCCTTTTTCAAGGGAGGCTCTGCCGGTTTCTGGTAGGAGTCTAACCTTAAGGCAATTTTAATTTACTTTGGTTTCGTTTTAAGAATGGTAAGTTGGTAATTTGGGCTCGACATCTGCCAGGTGTCGGATAGGCACAGGGTTTGTCACAATTTCCAAGGGGGAACTTGGAGCGTGTCCTGTCAACTTGGTATCAAAGATTAGGTTAAATTCCTGTAAACTTCGCACCTTGTGTGCAGTCACTTTTCTAACGGATCTTTGTCTCTTGTATCAGTGTTATGGGCCCTAAATGTGGTGGTGTTCATCGAGGAACTCACCAGTCATCCCAGTTACATGGTAGTGATGCTGGTCCTGAACTAGATGAACAACTCTTTCCTAATCAAAATCAGGGACCTTTTGAGTAGCCCCACCTAGAAGATGTGGCATATATTGTGCATGTGGATCCTACCCAGGCCATTGACCCCTATTTACATCAGACTGTAGAGTTGTTAACTCAGGCTCTATTTAGAGTCGGGCATACCAGAGACCCAGTGCTGACATATATTGATTAGACTAGGAGGATCGAGGCGATTGACTTTGATGGGAGAGGTGACTTGGCCGCCGCAGAAGATTAGATAGAGAACATGAAAAAGATTATGGAAGTGATGGAAGTTCCGCATGAATGTAGGGTGGTTTTGGTTACGTTCTTTCTTCGTAAGAATGCACGTTACTGGTGGGAATCAGTGAGATGCTGATACAGGATCCTTCAACAATCACATGGTAGATTTTTTGGATTACATTTGATGATTAGTATTATCCGCTTCCTTATCAGGACATGAAGATGGAAGAGTTTCTACAGCTTTAGCAGGGTAGCATGGCTGTGCTAGAATATGAGAAGAAATTTACTAAGCTATCTAGATATTGTACCCCATTGGTGGCAAATAAGAAGAAGAGATGTCAGCGGTTCACACATGGTTTGAGGCAAGCTATACGCAATTTGGTGGTGGGTCAGCGCATTATGGAGTATGGTGCACTTCTGGAGTCTGATTCCCTGATTGAGAGTAGCCAGATGGAGGTACGGGGACGTGATGATACACATCGACGTCGTTCTGACTCGGGTGGCCTTAGTCAGGGGCCATCCAAGAAAGTTAGCTTCAGCTCCGGATCTTTTGGTAGTGGTGGTTATGTAGATTTTAGGACAGGAGCCAGTTTTAGTGGTGGATCCAACCAAAGTTTCAGTTTTAGGCCTCGTTTTGGTGGTGGTGCGGCTAGAGGCTCTGTGAGCCACCAACAGATGGTACGCAACGGTCGAATCCATCCAATATGTAGATTATGTAATTGGCAGCACGATGGACCTTACCAGTAAGGTACTTCTAAGTGTTACTATTGTGGGCAACAAGGGCATTTTCAGAGGGACTGCTCGATGTTACTTCAAGGTGAAGTGACTGCTTCAGGATCAGTTCAGATGGTTGGTGCACATAGTAGAGGTCAGGGTACATCTCAAACTGTTGGAGCTTCATCCAGTAGTGGGACTCAGGCTAGTGTGTCTAGTAGAGAGAGTACTCAGCAGAGACGACGTGATGGACGTTCTAGAGCTACATGCATGGTATTTACTATGACTCAGCAGGAGGCGCATGTGACGCCGGATGTCATTATGGGTATGTTACCAATTTTTGGGTTTCCTACTTGTGTTTTGATAGACCCTGGAGCCACACATTCATTTGTTGCACATAGTTTTGTCCTTTATGCTAACGTGAGACCTACAACCATGCGTGGGGAGCTTGTTATTGCTATACCCACCGGAGATGTTCTTATCACCAACCCAATGTACATTGATAGTTTGGTTTTGGTAGGAGAGGTGTTTTTGGAAGCTAACTTGATTCACTTGGAGATTGTGAACATAGATGTCATTTTAGGGACGAATTGGTTGGCCAAGCATCATGCTTTGGTCGATTGTTTCTGGAAGGAGGTTGTATTTCGTAGTCCAGGACAACCCGAAGTGACCTTCTATGGGGAGCGTAGAGTTCTTCCATCTTTCCTGATTTTAGCTATGACGGCTAGACGGTTGCTTAGGAAGGGATGTACTAGGTATCTAACTCACATGATTGATACCCGGCACAATGGATTGAGGTTAGAAGATATTTCGGTGGTGCAGGAGTTTCCGGAAGTGTTTCTGGAAGACCTTCCTAGATTACCTCCTCAATGAGAGATTGAGTTCACTATTGAACTCGTTCTAGGCACTAATCCTATATCTCAGGTGCCATACAGAATGGTAGCAGCTAAATTGAGAGAGCTAAAGACTCAGTTGTCGGAGTTGGTGGACAAAGGTTTCATTCGATCGAGTTTCTCTCCATGGGGTGCACCAGTGTTGTTTGTGAAGAAGAAAGATGGCACCATGAGATTGTGCACTGACTACAGGCAATTGAACAAGGTTACAGTGTAGAACCGATACCCCTTGCCTCGCATTGATGACTTGTTTGACCAGTTGAAAGGTAAGTTGGTAATTTGGGCCTGACATCTGCAAGGTGTCGGATAGGCACAAGGTTCGTTACGAATTCCAAGGGGAAACTCGTGGTGAGTCCTGTCACAAAGACCCCTCCTTCACCAAACTGCCCAATTCTGGCACGAACTTCTCCCTCGGAAAGGCCTCAGATGAGCATGAGACAGAGCCAACAAACATGCTGTCGTGTCGCTCTTGTGAAAGCATATTGATCTCAAGCTAACAAAACTTTAAGGCTTAATTATTCATATACCCCCTATGCTTTACCAAAAATCTCAATTTTCCCCCTACAATTTCAACTGAGTCAATTTGCCCCTGTTCTTTCATTTCGTGTCCCAAGTTCCCCTATTCCGTCAATTTCCTCAATAACACTTTTAACTTGCTGACATGGCATGGATGTTTTAGTAATTTGACATATTAAAAACTTAAAATTAAAAAAAGCCAAATTAAAAATAAAATAAAAAATAAAAACCTCCCTGCTGAAGCTTCAACCACAATTCACAGTTCACTCACCACTTCCACGCCGCACCAATCTTCACTTCATACGCCTACCTTCTCAACCCACCGTCCTCTCCATGTTGCACCAATCTTCCAAGCATATGCTTCTTCCAAATAACAGAACAAAAAAAAATAAAAATAAAAAAACCTAGAAATGCTGCATATATTTCTTCTCTCCTTTGTGGATGAGGATTTGTAATGAAACTCCTATTTTCGACCAAAAGAAAAACCAGAGAAACACACCCTTGGAACTAAACCCAACATTTTTTCTACAATTTCCAGAAAATCTTAAATAAGAAAGTAAATTTTTTGAAGCTTGATTTCAAATAAGTGTGAAAAGATTTAGGTTCTTGGATGGAGGAAAAGATGTGGGGATTTTAGGGCACAGTGGGAGTGGTATTATTTTTTTTAAAAAAATTTATATTTAATTTGGATTTTTTAATTTTTTAATAATTAAAATATCAATGACACGTCAGCAATTAACGGTGTTATCGAAGAAATTAACGGAATAGTGGGAACGTGGGACACAAATGAAAGCATAGGGAGAATATTGACCCAATTGAAAATGTAGGGAGCAAATTGAGATTTTTGATAAAGCACAGGGGGCTTACCAAAATTTAAAAACTCATTACTAAGCCCAAAATAGAACTAACACATTTACTATCCTTATTATTTTCCATTTTATTGAGTGTAACCAAATTTTTCTAAAAATCAATATGTCATCATTTTATTTTACTTTTACTCTACAATATATTAATTTAACTAAAACTTTTAAAATGTTTTTTTTTATCACTCAAACCCAATGACGCACTCACTCATAAAACCAAAAACATGTTCTTGCTCCATTGTCGTTCACAACTACGTTCAACTTTAGTGTTGCAGACGAAAATCAAGAACATGTGCCGTTTAAGATTTACTTTGATTCTTACTAGTTATCTATTTCATCTCTTGATTTAGATTCAAATATTCAATTTTTTTAGAAATAAAGAAAATTTATTGACCCAAATCTAGAGCCATTAATCCATCTCTTCACACTTTAACGTGATCAAATTTCAAACACCTACAACCAAGTCACTTTCCTGTTGTTCTCTGCCTTTGTGTTCAACTTTCTGTTTAAAAATCTTAGATTTGAATGATTCATGAACCCAATTTGGTAAAACTTCAATTTTTAACAAATAAATTTTGGGCTCTTTTTCTTTTTTCAGTTCATGAACTCAGACTTGGGTTTCTGCAACTATTTTGCTGTTTTTCATGACAAAGGTTCATGGTTTCTTATTTACTAGGTGTGAAGGAGAAAGATGGCTCGCGTCAGACATGACGTTCTTCGAATATATGGTCGATTTTAGATGCATATGAGTTTTTTTTTTTTTTTTTTTTTTTTTTTTTTTTTATTTTTTTTTTTCATTTTATCTATATATGAGTGGGGGGTTTTTTTTTTTTCTTTTTTTTTTTTTCAAATCGATGGGGTTATGTAAGTTGTGATTTTTTCTTAAGTCCTTTTTTTTTAATACCTTTTCCTATTGAGAGGGGCTAAACTCACACACACTACATGGATGCTAGGACTCGAACCCAAGACCTTACCTGAGGGAATAAATACTCAAAACCACTACACTAGTAGGTACTTTGCTTTCGTAAGTCCTTAGAAGTCATTTTACACAAAGGATAAATTTCTCTTTAAAACTTTTAAAATAAGGTGGGATGAAATAGTAGCACTAAAAAAAAAATCTAATTTTGTTATAAAATTAGGGAGAATTGTAGAGAGCAATAAGAGGAAGAGAAATACAGAGAATTTGTTCTATGAACTTGTTGTCTTCATCTTTAATAAGTACCTATTTTAATTGTTCTATGAAATTAACCCACTAAATATAGATTAAAGGCTACTAATTACTATACTAATAACATATGTTACAAAACAACAAAAAATGGGAATGGATATAATGGTGGTAATCACATTCCATGGATTTATACCAAATTTATTGTTCTCTTTATTAAAGTTATGTTTGTTGGTAGGCTCGTGCTCCCTTGAACCGAAGCCTCATTTGTCTTCCACAGTTCTGTTATATAGCGTCTTTTGTCAATTAAGAATAACAAGGATCCGTGGCGCAATGGTAGCGCGTCTGACTCCAGATCAGAAGGTTGCGTGTTCGATTCACGTCGGGTTCAAATCCTACGATCCTTCAGAAATTTTTAATTTTTGCATAAAAATTGCCAGCGATATGTCATAGATGACTGTTTCTTTTAGACGGTTAGGTTTTTGTTTTTTTGTATTTTTGGGAAGCGGGTAAGTTAATAAGTGAGGAAATTCGCTCTTGACGATGCATGTTGCCTATATGTTATATATGCAAATTATAAATATAAAAATATGCGGAATTCAACCATAAACATGAAAAGATAGAAAGGGTCATAACAATTTGATAATTAAGACATCAAGCTATTTAATCGATCAAATAATACATCTCTCTCATCAGAAAGTTACAATTAAGGGGGTGTATTCAATTAAGATTTTAAAAGAGTTAAATAGAGTTATAAAGTTTATAGAGTTCAATAAATTCCACATAGAGTTTGATTGAATTCCTAGATTGATTTTAATGGTGTTTGTTAGAGTTTTATTATAGATTTTAAAAGAGTTATTAGAGTTCTAAAATGTTTTTTTTTCTTTTTATTCTTTTTCTTTTGGGGCTGTTTATCCAAGTTCAAACCATATACATCCAAAAACATTTTCTTTTTCTTTTCAGGAATGCATTTTTCATTCCCAACTTATGAACCAGCCCAAGTGCTTTGTAACGAGCACGATTATCCAAGTTTGGAGTCTCCTTGATGGCATCCCAAACATTGTTGGTTTTCTCTCTCTCTTTTCTCCATTAGGCTATGCATTCCTCAAATTTCAGTGGTAATTGCAGCAATTGAATCCATGCCCACATAAACTTTTTCTACTAGTTCAGCTCGAGTTATGGTCTCAACTGAATTATTATTTGCTTCAGACTCAGTTTTAGGTTTCTTTCTTTGAGGGAGCTTTTCTAATGGAGCCTCCAAATTTGTGTCTAGAAAAGGTGATGAAGTAAAATTACCAGACGACAAAGATTGGTATGATGTCTCATTTTGACTTGGTACAAATGCCTCATTGGTATCCTGCAATCTGGTAGGTCTGCAAATGTATATCTTTGAAGATGCACTTGACTTGGATGAGACTAGCAAAAACCAAAAATTAAATAATAAAAATTAAAAACATGCAAAAAGTACGAAAGTGAAAGTATATTATAAAGTAATATTTAACAAAATTGAAATCTTACCTCAAAGTAATCTTGCCATACTTCTTTAGTAGCTGTGAATTTCTTTGAGATGGATTCCCACCCAAATCCAGAACTATGACGCATAAGCTGAGTAAAACTATGATATCTTGTCTTAAACCACTTCAGACGACCTTGATATTGATGATAAGTTTTTTGGCATCCAAGTTTTGCATTAAGAACATGAAGTATCCTGCTTTCTACTATTTGCTTGCTTAGCAAACCATTAGAATCGCGCCATCCATAGTTGGTAGCATCAACCATTAGTTCTAATGGCATATTGCTCTCTTTCGATGTCCATGGGTTATAAGGTTTTTTTCCTTTTCCTTGTTGTGAATCTCCCATTTATAATGTTACTAGATAATACATGCAATCTTTAATTAGTTCATAAGAAAAAAAATTATATATGAAGATAATTTTTTCCTTTTTGTTTTGGCATGGACTAGATATACATAGATATTGTACCCAAAAATAAAAAAATAATAAAAATAAGATGACTATAGATCGATGAAAAAGGCTATCATCTATATATGATATGATGCATAGAAACGGGAAGAAAAAAAAAACAGCAACTAAAAAAAAATTAATAATAACGGTAACCAAAAATAATTATAATAACAGCAACTCTTGACAAGCGCACACTTTATATGATATATGCTACTGTTCGATGACTATAGATTGATGAAGAGGGCTTTGGTCGAATAGATTGACAAACACACGTTATATGATACATATATATATGCTACTGTTCATATATGAAAGAGGAGATTTGTTCATATATGCTATGTTATATGATCCATCCATATATGAAAGGCTTAATTATGTACATGCCCCCTGTGCTTTTACGTTTTTCTCAGATTACCACCTGTTGTGGAAAACGTCTCAAAGTACCCCCCAACGTATAAATAACCGTCTCAATTTACCCCATCCGTCAAATTTTTTGACGGTCCGTTACGAATAGTGGGCCCCACTTCGTTTTAACCTTTAAGCTGTTCGAATAAGGGTTTCTCAGTTTGTAACAAAGGGGAAATTGGGTTTAGGGTTCATTGGAGAAGAGGGTTGTTGTCAAAATCTGAGGGTTCCTTCGATTTTGGGAGAAATTGGAGAAGAAATCATTCGTTGGCGTTAGAGTTTAAGGCTAGAAGGTGCGAAGATGGTGGTGCTTAGAGAATCTGGAGGTTGTCAACCCATATGTAAGTGGACCCATTGTTACTCGATTTTCTTGATTTTGGCATGTGCATTGAACTGTTGTTAGGATTTTGTTTTTGTTTTTTGTATACTTTTTGACTCTGCTGGTTCTGGTGTGATCATTGTGTGGTCTAGAGGTGTCAAACGGGTCGTGCCGTGCCGGCCCATCCCATTTAAACTCGTGCTTTTAACGTTTTCGTGTCAAGCCGGGCCGGCCCATTTAATTTATCGGGCCGTGCCGTGCCGGCCCATTTAGTAAAATTATTGATCCCGGCCCGGCCCAAAGCCCATGTCCATATTGAAACGGGCCGGGCCGGGCTCGTGCCGTGCCCATGCTCGTGCTCGTGCCATACTCGTGCCTAAGAACCAATCCATTTAATTTGAATTTTTTTCACTTCATTTTTTTTTCACTAGATAATTCAAATTATAAACATTAAAAATATAATTAGATGCAAGAAATGATGAACTATTTGAACCATACTCGTGCCGTGCTTGAAGCGTGCTCGGGCCAAGCCCGGCCCATGTCGGGCCATGGGCCGGCCCGGTCCATTGGACCTCATTTTTTGATCCCGGCCTGGCCCAAGTTTTCGTGCCGTGCCGAGCACGGCCCATTAATATTCGTGCTCGTGCCGTGCCGTGCCTCATTTAAATGGGCTGGGCTCGTGCCGTGCTGGGCCGGCCCGTCCCGTTTGACACCTCTAGTGTGGTCCTTGCATGTTCCTAGTGTGGTGTGTTGCTGGAAATTTTTTTGTTCTTTCATATATTTTTTTATTCTGTGCTGGCCCCAATATACCTTATGTGGTCCTTGGGTGTTCCTTGTATTATCCTTTGTGTGGTCCTTCTTTTCTCTTTGTGTGTTTTTTTCCATTTGTTAAGTGAATGTTCCTGTTACGCAGATAAAGATGCTGATGAGGTTGTCACATTTAAGTTTTTCCATGGAGGTAAACTAGTGAAAAATAGAAAGGACAGTCAGTGGTCTTATTTAGGTGGTGAAGTCAGTTGGTTTGATTACTGTGAAGTTGACTATATGTCCATGTTAGAGCTATTTGGAATGGCTAAAGATTTGGGATATGACGATGGGTATGATGTGAGTTTTTATGGTGAAGAGTTTGGAACTAGCAGACTCATTCAAATAATATCTGATAGTACACTTTTAGCTTGTATGAGCATGGTACCTAAAAGCAATAGCAGGGTCGTAGTTTTGTACTTGAAGGTAGTGAGCTTAACTTCAAGCCAAGTGGGGAATGATAGCAGTGATAAAGAATATTCTTGTTCTGAGAATGATGATAGCAGTGATCCAGACTTTGAAGACAGTGACTATGCACAAAGTGATGAAGAGATTGAATTATTGAAGAATGATGATAAGTGGTTTGAAGGTTATGTGGATCATAGTATTTTTGACAATGATCCTAATGCAGAGCAAAATGATGAGTCAGACAATGGAGAAGAGTCACCTACACTTACCTGCCCAAATAGTTCACAAAGTGAAGATGATGCAGTGGGTGAAGTAAGAAGGAAGAAGAATAGGATGCCAAAAGGTGAAGATTTCAGACCTGAAATTGATATGGGAAGCCCAAGTTTCAAAATAGGTTTAAGGTTTGCAACTGCCGAGTTGTTTAGAAAAGCTGTGAGGATATACTCCATTAATTGTGGAAGGGAGTTGATTTTTATGCATAATGACCGTAACAAAATAAGAGCAGTATGTGAAGAGGGCTGTCCTTTTGTTATCCATGCTTCAAGTGTTAGTGGTAGCACTTACCTGCAGGTGAAAACCTTTAATCCTACACATGTTTGTAGCAAGGGGACTAAAAATATACATGCTACTGCTGGCTGGTTGGCTGAAAGATATTCTGGGCAGTTAAGGCTCAATCCAAATTGGACTGCTTCTTCTTTTGTAGAGCAAGTTCACCAAGACTATGGTTACAGACCATCTAGAGCAACTGTGTACAGAGCAAGAGCCATGGCAGTTGACATTGTAGAGGGGTCTTACAGCAAAAAATATGAAGTATTGTGGGAATATTGTCATGAGTTAAGAACCAGGAATGTGGGAAGTACAGTTATCATTAAATCTGAAATGGAAGGTGATAGGCCACGGTTTCAAAGAATTTACATCTGTCTTGCAGCCTGCAAGAAGGGGTTTTTAGATGGTTGTAGGCCTGTGGTTTGCTTGGATGGGTGTCATGTCAAAGGGCCTCACCCTGGGCAAGTGCTTTCTGCAATGGGAGTTGATGCAAACAACGGAATGTTTCCACTTGCCTATGCATATGTAGAGATTGAGAGCAATTCAACATGGCTGTGGTTTTTAGAATTATTGAGTGGTGATCTCAATATTACGAATAGCCATGGTTATGTATTTATGACTGACAAACAAAAAGGGTTAATAGATGCTGTGGATGCTCTATTCCCTCAGGCAGAGCATAGACATTGTTTGAAACATCTATATGGGAACTTCTATTTGGAACATAGAGGTCTTGCCTTGAAACATCAAATGGAAGCAATTGCTAGAGCCACAACAGTGCCATGGTTTCATGCAGAGATGACAAAGATGTTGCAGTTGTCTAAACCTGCACATGATTGGCTCATGGAGAAAGATCCTAGGCATTGGAGTAGGGCATATTTCAAGAGTGATTCCAAGTGTGACATGCTTATGAACAATCTATGTGAGGCATTCAACCGTAGCATAATGGATGCCCGAGACAAGCCTATTCTGACTATGCTAGAAAGAATTCGGTTGTATATAATGTTGTTGATGGCGGGAAGAAGGGTTCTCTGTGAGAAATGGCATGGACAAGTTGGGCCAAGAATTAGAAAGATATTAGAGAAAAACAAAGCAAAAGCTCAGTGGTGCATTCCTAAGGCTGCTGGACAGAATCAGTTTGAAGTAATGCACCATAGTGGCCGCACCTTTGCTGTTGATTTAAATGGCCACTCTTGTTCATGCCATGCTTGGGATTTGAATGGAATACCATGTTTGCATGCATGTGCTGCAATAAGTTGGTTTCATGGGAATCCAGAGGACTTTTGTGATGCAGTGTACAAGAAAGAGGCTTATTTGAGAGCCTATCAACCAATGATTATGCCTATGACTAGCCAAGATCAGTGGATGAAGGTTAATTTACCTCCATTACTCCCTCCGAAATACCACAAGCAGCCTGGTAGGCCTAAGAAGACAAGAAAACAAGCTGTTGAAGAACCTAAACTTCCTTCTAATCCATATAAGCTTCCTAGGTATGGCATCCCTTTAAAGTGTGCCAATTGCGGTGGAGAAGGGCATAATCGAAGTAGTTGTAAGGTATGTGGTTTTTAGAATTATTGCTTTACATTTAAATGTATTTGATTTGGTTTCTGACTTGATGACTTTGGTTATTAGGAACCTAGAAATCCCAACATAAAGCCTACTAGGAAGAGGAACATTGCCAAGGACAAACTTGCAGTAAGTGCCACAGTTTCAACTATGTTTTCACTCATCAAAATTTTATATCATGGAAATTTCTAATTATTATTTGTTTTAGGTAAGAAGGAGAGATGGTGGAGACCAAAGTGGCGGACAACAGAGTATGCAATTAAGGCAAAGGAAACAGTCAAGCACTTCCCAAGGGCCTTCTCAATCCCAAGCATCTCAAGTAGCTGCTGCTTCTCTATCCCAACCATCTGAAGCAGCTGATGCTTTTCAATCCCAGCCATCTCAAACACCTGAACCTGCCAAATTATCTCGAGTACAACAACGTCGGAAGAGGATGAAAGATCAACAGAGGAGCCATTTTGTCAAAGATCCTTTTTTTCATCCTTGAATGTTGTGGAAGACTTTAATGGTTGTTGGTTGTTATGTTTGGAACCTGTTATGGTTGGACCTGTTTTGGAACCTAAGTATTTGATGTATGTTATGGTTTGAATATTTGATGTATGTTATGGTTGGACCTGTTTTGGAACCTGAATATTTAATGTATGTTATGGTTGGAACCAATTTTGGAACCTATTTTGGTTTGTGCATATTTCCTAAGGTTGTTATGGTTGGAATCTGTTTTGGAACCTGTTTTGGTTTGTGCATATATTCATAAGACTGTTATGGTTGGAACCTGTTTTGGTTTGTGTTCTGTTTTGGAACCTTTTCTGTTTTGGTTTGTGCTTATAATGACAGGTGCTTTTGCTAGTTTTGGGCTTTGCCTCTTGCTTTCCAGATTCCAGTAAACTTTGGCATGTTACCAAAAGCTACATATCCACCATAAACTTTGGCAAAGAAGGCAGGTCCTGCTTTTTTAGGGAAAACTGAATTTTGGTTATCTTCTTCTACATTCATCAAGAAATTACCATTCAATTTACCATTCATATCACATATCAAACTTAACTAGCATTACATTACTTAACTAACTAGCATTACATTCATGTCACCATTTGTAACCTCTAAACAGCTTACCATTCATGTCACCATTTGTAACCCCTAAACAAATTACATATCCAGTAAACTTAACTAGCATTACATTACATTACACCAAATGACATTACATTACACTGCCAAAGTGTCTTACATTAGATTAGCATTTGTTCTCAAATTAAATTTGCCCATTAAACTACTGCCAAAGTGCTTAACTACTGCCAAAATGCCTTACATTACATTAACATCAGGTATCAAATTACAATGGCCAATGAACTACTGCCAAAGTGCCTAATTCATCTTCATGGCAAACACCACCAACCACGAAAGCAACATAGCAGCCCACAATATTTTTGACTTTGCTCGAATATTTGCATTTTCCTTCTCCACCCTATCAATCTTCCTCAGCAAACCAGGTATCAACGATTTTGAACGCTCACACATTTCTGCATCAAACCACTGAAAAAACCTACATCCTTTTTCTCCCCTTCCCTGTATCAACCAAGAACAATGACTGAAAATTTGGGTGGTAAAATGACTGAAAATTTCATCAATCACTGACAATTTCATCACTAACAACTCTATCAATTTGTGATGCCCAAAATAATGACTGAAAATTTTATCTTAAACATGCTTACCTTTGACTTTGGGCAGACTAGAAATCTTCGCCCTGGGTTTGAACTGGTCCAAGAAGTCTGCATCCGTGCTAACTTCCCACAATGACACCATTGGCCATGCCCTCCTTCTCCTTGCTTCTCTCCTGTTTCCATCATCCCAAATCTTCTACTCCACAATCTTCCAATTTCAAACTCCACCTCAGAGTTTTACAAAGAATGATTTCTTCTCCAATTTCTCCCAAAATCGAAGGAACCCTCAGATTTTGACAACAACCCTCTTCTCCAATGAACCCTAAACCCAATTTCCCCTTTGTTACAAACTGAGAAACCCTTATTCGAACAGCTTAAAGGTTAAAACGAAGTGGGGCCCACTGTTCGTAACGGACCGTCAAAAAATTTGACGGATGGGGTAAATTGAGACGGTTATTTATACGTTGGGGGGTACTTTGAGACGTTTTCCACCACAGGTGGTAATCTGAGAAAAACGTAAAAGCACAGGGGGCATGTACATAATTAAGCCTATATGAAAACGTGAAAAAAGGAGATTTTTTACCTTCACTTGACAAGCACACACGTTCGAGGACTGGAAAGTGTAGAGCACCTTCAAAGTTTCTAGGGTTGACATAAGATTTGTCAGGGCCTTTTGTATTTATACTTACCACTTTAATTTCTAACGAAATCGGGCAACTTATTAATTCCTTACTTTTTTAATACACCTAAATTTCGATGTATTTTTTAATGTCAATTGAAATCTGAATTGAATACACCCGAACTTTTACAAACTCTTTTAAAATCTAAATTGAATACACCCAAACTTCTAAAATCTTAATTGAATACACCCCCTTAGTTTTCGCAGGGCCATGTGGTGTGGGCAACTTCACCCCCTCAAATTACTGTGGGAAAACAGTAGCTACAAATTTGATTGAGAATTTGCAAGCATCTTGCATTCATCACCTACCGATCGTTTGCAGCGTCTTCATCTTCCTCCGGTTTCACAAAGAATTCAATATAAGCAATTCGACTAGGTTGCTGATATCCGGCAGAATCGATACGTGGGTGTGAAGTGGACGGCCTTGCCACTGAAACAAGGTGTTGAACTTTCAGCAATCCACCTCTCCCAATAGTCAACTTGCTTCCTCTATTATCTTTAATTACGCTGCCTGGAATGTTAGAAGTTGTAGCTCGAAGGAACTTGTATTTGTACCTAAGAACATTAGGGTCAGAACCAACACAATTAAGAAACTAGAAGTGGTGCGGTGGATGTAATGTTCGAAAGTCATATTTAAAACATACTTGTAAGATACTTGACGATCACAGTGAAATGCAACCAAAAGATCAGTATTCACATAATACATCAAGTCTATCTGCAATAAAGACAGATTTAGAACTCTAGAATTTGGAATCATCACAGTAAATGCTTGCTTCTAAGTTAGAAACAATATTTACCTGCAAATCCCCATGGCCTTCACCTCTGAAGGTAACGATAGGAGGAACTGGTTGTAGATTGATCTGGATGCTTGATCCAGGCCACTCAAGATCATCAATTGCTTCCTTCAACGCTGCAGACTGTTGTTTAGATTAGATGTCAAACAACAATAAGGTAAAAAGAACTTCAATATGAGTCAAGAACATATTCGATATATCAAGAACATTTATATTTGAATGCTACTCACTACATATTGTTCAGTGAATACATGAACCCATCCTCCACAAGTATCATTAATTGGCATTCTTTCCCTCTTTTTTTGTTTTTCGGTTAAAGGGCTAAAATTAGATAACGTCCCCTTGGGTTAGAGGACCCCCCTTTGGTTTTCCTTGTGGCACTCATTACCCCCCTTTTCAACAACAGGGTAATATCATAAATTACCCTCGTTTATTACTCTGGATTGATGACCTTAAAGAGCACCGAGGGATACAGCATACTCTAATGGCACACCTCAACTGTAATGCATGCATATCCATTATCTTATATATTTATATATATGCCCAAAGAACTAATTTGATTCGTGATTCAAAGATGGCAGACAGACACACAGACACAAACAAATGATGTCCAGATAAATACTTCAATTACATTAAACTATCACACACCTTGACCATTCTAATCTCATTAACCTCAAACTTTATATTTATGACAAATATGATGCACAACACATATAGTGGCAGGTAAAACTGATAATGAAAATAAGGTGATCAATAGAAGTTAATTTGAAGATCTTTTGGAGAAGGTACCCACTCATTAAATGGAAAAGAGGTTAAATTGAAGATAATATGGATTCTTTTCAGTAACTAACCAATTCTTTATACTTTTAAAACACAAATCTTGGTTTTTTGAAGCAGATATGGGTAGAAAATCGTTTGGCCAGATGGAAATAACAAATACTTTTAAAACTAGCAGGTATGGTAGAAAGTCGTTTCGCCAGATGGAAATAGGAAATATACAATGTGAAGAATGTATAAGAAGATTTTCAGGGGACGCTTCAGTTGCAACATTGTTGCACTTGAAGCAGCATGCTAAAGGGCATTGTGAACCTATAACAAAGTCACACCAGGTCTGATTTCTATTTTATCCCCATTACATAGAAATTTCAGTAGCTCGTATGTAACCATTTAATCATTGAGGGAGAGAATGATGAAGGAGAGAGCAGCTTGTGCGCTCTTCATACAAGTATATATGAATGATCATACCTTAACAGTGAAAGTGAGTGGAGTGCTCCCTGCAGGTTCAAAATTGTAGTCCCAAGAAACTGTATCTGGGATTCTTGTCCTGATCTCTGCATAAATGCAAGCATCCAACGAATCAACAGACCTAACAGAACATGTATGAAAAACACTGTCATGAAAAGATTTGATTGATTTGTCATGGATTGAAAGCATAAATACAAGGATCATGAACAAGTAGCTAGTGTATTACTATTACAATTGTAGACTTAAGCATCTCCAAATGAACACAACTTATCTACTATCATATAATCTACAAGGAATATTCAATTGTGAAAGAAAGAAGGGGAAGAGTTCATAAAAGAAGATTAAAAAAATCCAAATGTATTTCAACCCGAAAAGCAGCAGAAAAGCAAATATAGGTGTGGAGCACCGTATAGAGTTTGTATGACAACACAATATTTCATGTAATTCACGTGATAAAAGGTACACAACAATGAGGTGCAAAATCAAAGATGATTTAAGTAATTTAGTGAAAAATGGAGCATATGAAGAAGAAGAAGATACTTGAGAAGAAGCTGCATGTCGGGCCCCGGATATCGAATTTCTAGAATGCTTGATTGTCCAGGAACTGAAAATGTGTTCAAACAATCCACAAAGAGCCCCAAACTGACTCCAAACCTGGGCCGACCTTGCCCGTTGTATTCATAACGAGTAAAAAGCTACAAACCAACACCCAACCAACCAACCAACCAACAGAAATTTTCTCAGCGATGTCAAAAAATAAAAAAGGCATCCGAATCTGATCTGTTGTGATTTTCTTGGGAGCCAAACAGAAACAGAGTCATTAAGCATTTTGTATATACTGTGAGTAAGAAGTGAAAAATCAAGTAAGTGCTTGCAGTAGTATTTGTAGTACCTCACGCTGGAGATAAACTTTGGCCTGAAGACAACCGGTTTCCTCGACAATTAAAACGACGCCGTGTTCTGATAATTCCATGACCGCATCCTAAATCGCAAAATGGTAAGTCATGAAAAAGCCCTAGATATCATAGCAGACTCGTCTTCTACAAAGCATAAAAAATTAACCAACATTCATCTGTGGCATATGTGAAAAATTTGAAGTTGGGGAGGGAGCCACCGACCCACCTGCTGGCGTTTCCATCGGACGGTGGTGAGGGCATCGACCATACCCTGGACGTTGTCGAGCTGGCACAGCAGATCAGGGGCTTCTTCTGCCGACGACGACGGCGAGCTCATTTTCCTCTTAATTTCCCGCCACACAAACGCTCTCTCTTGCTCTCTCTCTAACGAGTATTGAAATTTGAGTAATGGCCTGGCGTTCCTTTTGAAATTATCTTCTAATTATAAGCTCTGTCTTTGTTCCAGTAAGCTGGGCGGGAACCTTCCCTTCCTTACTCCACTATGATCTTTCTTTTGTACGCAATTTTCTCCGTTACTTCGGGCCAATTTGGGACTACTGTCACTTTTTAGAAAAAGTTGCTTATGCTCTGATACGAGTCATTATTTGGCTCACGAGCCCATGAGCCGATGGGGGCCCCCCCAGCCCAAAAAAAAATGCACGGCTTAACCCATTATTCAGTAGGCTAAACTTGAGCTAGAGTGTCCAAAGCTCAACTCAACTCATAAGCCCGATCCACTTCAACCCACAAAGGCCTAGTCCAACCCACTCATTAAAGCCTACCCACAAGCCAGCTACATATATAATTATATATATAAGTAACGATTACTTTTGTGTGGAAAAGAGGCTCAATACCTTTATTTAAAAGAGGCATCACACGCTCATCTAATGATTCTAACCCTGGCCGCTAGACACTCTCCAATAGGAGTGGGTATCGGAACCGAAAAACCAATCAATCGAACCAAACCAAACCGGAAAAAATCGAAAAAAATTGTATTGACCAAAAAGTCAAACCCAATTCAAAAAACCGGACCAAACCGATTCTAATCGGTTCCTATTCTAGTTCTATAGCCCAACAAATCAAACCAAGCCAAACCGAACCGGTCAAATTTAAAAAAATTATATAATTTTAATATTTATTTATATCCAATGCTATATTTTTAAGCTCATAATTAATATTTACGCAAGTTCAAATTCAAAACATCTCTCTTTTCTAGCATCAATATTTCTTTTTTGTATGAAATTGGATAATTTGTTAATTTTCAAGCCAAGAAAATAAATTTAAGTTGAAATTTGTATAAAAGAATAATTTGAAAATAATCTGGTTCAAAACTAAACCAGAATCAATTCAACTCGAACCGGAAAATTTTATAAAATTTTTTGTTAAAATCGGACCGAACTGAACAGGGTAAATAGTACCGAATTATGTTCCAATTTGAGGCAAAAACCGGTCCAAACCGAACCGTACCCACCCCTAGTCTCCACATCTCTCTCCGTCTCTCTATTTTCATCTCTCTCTCTCCCCCCTCACTCTTCAAATATGTCACTGTAGATCTAAGTCCAATAGACAATCCTAGTGTGCGAATTAGGGTTTAAAAGATGATCCAAGTCCAATAGGTATGTATGCCTCTAAATCCCTTGCCACTCCTCTCAATTTTTGCTTCACTGCCTAGTTTTTGTTATCTTGTACGTAATTATTTTCCCTCTGTAGCATCAAAATCATGTTTTAATGCAGGTGGTAGATTTGTTTCCGAAAAGAAGGCTAGTTTGAGTCCAAATACAATTGAAAAATTAATTTGCTTGAAAGATTTGGCCTTAGAAAATTCAAGGATGCAAGATGCAAGATGCAACAGAAGATGAGCAACACGCTGAAGAATTAATGAACATTAGAGCATCAATACCAAATTGGATGGCAGCCAGTGAAGAGGTTGAAAGTGAATTTGAAAATGAGACAATTCAAAGATAAAATTTTTTTTTTTTAATTTTAAATTTGTATCACACTCTGTTTTTGCATAAATAGGCTATTTGCTTGAATAGACTATTCATTCGGAATGGGCTTGAATAGACTATTCGTTTGGAAGGGGCTTGAATAGACTATTTGTACAAGGCTTTTGTATCATACTATACTTTTAAGGGAGCTTTAGTAATATACCCAAAATAGGACATAAAATTAAAAAAAAAACCCTATATGGAATAGACTTTAGAAACACACCCAAAAACTATTTACTAACTAAAAAATAAGTGTCGAAGTTCCTATAAATTACATCTTTGCCATTTATTAACTTAAAACAAGCCCAATACAAAAAATTCAAAAAAAAAACCCAAAATAAGCCCAGCAAGTCCGAAGTACATTGTTAATACTAAGTCATAGAAGAGTATTGTTAATATCATGTCATAAAAATACATTGTTAATACCATGTCATAAAAATACTTTGTTAATATCATGTCATAGAAGTACAATGTTAATATCATTTCATAGAAAAACATTGTTAATACCATTTCATACAAAAAAAAGTCAAAAAAACCCAAAAAAGGCCAGCAAAATATCTGATATCCTTTACAAAAACCACATCCAAATGTCCATAGTTTCACCAGAAGCAATCGCAAAGGCCCTCTACAAGAAGAAAAAAAAAAGTACACTATTAATACTGTGTCATAAAACTATCTTCCTATTAAAAATCACATTATGCATATCATAAACTTCAAGTGCATAGCTATATGAGCAAAATATAGAGCATGCTTTGTTACTGAAAATCTGTTAATACTATGTCATAGAAATACACTGTTAATATTATGTCATAAAATTACAATATTAATACTATGCAATAGAAATCAACTCAATTGCAGGGTATGAACAGTATAACAATTGTTCATATCACTTACTGGAAGTTAACAAATGTTCATACCACTTATAGATAACAAATTATATACTACAAATCAACTTACCAACTTTGGTCATTCCAATACCACTATCAATAATAGTCAAGGTATTGTTTTTGTCAGGGATGAAAAGCTCTAGTTGACCATTGAGCTTGCTCTTGTCAGTCATATTCTCAAATCTAATCTTGTCAAGAGCCTACAAACAAAGCATGACATAATGAGCCAAAGGAAATTCAAAACAAAAACGTTACCGAAAAAACTTATTCTCTACATAGCTTTTCCATATCAATTCAACAAGAGACAAGAACACTAAAGATTTTTTATAAAGAAATTTGAAAAGCACGCATGCGACATAAACATTGAAAATAAACCTTCTTATATTCAACTTACAAAACGTTGTAACACATCTCTTTTAATAGGCAAACAGGGATAGCAAACTTTTATTAGTATGAGAAACTCAAATACCCAATTCACATTCATTATCACTAAAAATGAAACAAATACTCAAAGCACTAATCAAAACTCTAATGTGAAATCAAAACCAAGAAATCCATAAGCAGATGAGCTACATTGGTTTTAAGCCATAAGAGAACAACTAAATCAAAAACCCATAATATTCTCAAACTTTTAACTAAAAAACTAACGACAACTAAAGAACAAAAAAAATAGATCTCTAACCTATGCCATACAAACTAAATCATTGAATTTAAAACATTCACAAGCCAAACATAAATAACACAAGCCTATTGATAGCCAGGAGCAGAATCTTCTCAAAGTTTTAGCCAAAGATGGGAGGGAAGAGCCGCATGCTTTCACAAGCAACCTGCCAGGTATACTTTATCTTCTTTGTGTCATCCAATGTCATATTTTCACTTGGTCTTTTGCTTCTCATTATCTCAGTGTGTTCTGATGGGAAATGAAATGAAACTCACTAATAAGCTTGTTGAATGCTGAGTTTTTCGGATAACATATTAAACTTATTTTTCCTGTCAATTAAAATAGATGAACTTGGACTGCATGAAAGATTATATACACGTCTAGGCAAAGCTATGACAGAATCAAAAATCAGAGCAAAGGAAGAAAAAAGAAATTCTAGGCAGCAATGTAGTTGAAGGTTTGTACCTTGCACAAGTCTCCAGATCTACGGTATGCAACATCTGGCTTTGGAAGAATCGTTGTCGTCGTCGTCATCATTGTCATCGGCGAATAGAAGATCTGGGTTGAAAATCGGTAACATCAGACGGATCTGATAATTTTGGCATATATCGTCGGTGGAAATCGGCGGTCCGTCCGGGTTAGTGCAGGCGAAAGAGAAATCATCTTCATCTTCTTCTCGCACTCACCACCGACGTCGGCGTTCTGAACACCTTCGTTCTCTTCCAGTTCTAAACACCTTCGTTCTCCTTCTCTTTAGCTAAAGTTGCAAAGTGAGTTTTGGGCCTGTTTCAAAAAATTCAAACCAAAAGGTCAAAACCGTAATCTAACATAGAAAATAAATTCAAAAATCGACAACTGTCGATTTTTGGGTTTATTTTGGGTGTGTTTCTATGTATTAAATAGTGTAGGGTATATTTATAGTTTCATGTCTAGGAATGGGTATTTCACTAATTTTGTATACTTTTAATTGTACTTTCAAACTTTGAATGAAAATCATCTATTTTTTTGTTAAGTTTTTTTATTTTTTTCTATACTTTCAAAAATTAGCCCATTTTGGCACAGCCCAGGCCCTGTCTAGTGTGGCCCATGAAATCCCAGCCCATGAGGAGGGCTTGGGCTTTAATTTTATAATGAAAGCTCAGCTCACACCAACCCATATATTTCCTTCAAGCCCGGCCCAGGCCCATGTCCATTGACGAGGCTTATGTGGTAAACAATATTTTTAATAATAATAATACTAGGGACACCAAATTTGTACATCAAATTTGAGTCCAAATGCTGTGACAAGTGCCACATCATCAATTTCATTTAATATTAACCAACATGGCTTAATTAACTAAAAAATCCTTAAATTTTTCTAAAATGAATATTAATATAAAATAACACAGTGTTAACCTAAAATTCAATAAGTCACAAAATTTATCCCACAACACTACCACCGTATAACTGAAGGGAAATTATAGTGTAGGGATTTCTAAAATCCTATGAAGTTATGAGAAAACAAATCATCTAGCATATGCATATCAAATATGAAATCAAATAAAGCAGAAGCAAGGAAATAGTTGGAGATTCATACATGTCTCATCTTAGGTCCCAATCTTTATAGGTTCATAAAAATAGCACTAATGACTCTCTAAGACAACTATTGCAAGTAGGATTAAGAACACATACCCTTGGAGTGAATCTTGAAACCAAGGATGGTGTTCAAGTAGAGTGATTGGTCCCTTTGATGTTGGCTTTCCACACTTGTCTCCAAATTGGCACACTAAGAGTGCACCACCAAAGAATCTTCACCAAGGATGGAACGGAATAGGAGAATAAGGAAGCTTGAGGAGAAGATGGGTGCTAGCCTTTTCTTCCTCAAGTAGCCGGCCAAGAGAGAGCAAGGAAGTGAGGTTTGATGTTTCCTCTCTTTCTCAATGTCTAACTTGAAAAACCCTAAGGAGGTGAGGTGCTATGACTATGAATATATAGACACATATTGTCACACATGTGCCCCTAAAGATCCCATGCGCAGCACCCTCCCTATCCTTGGCCTTTTTGGGCTACTTTGGTCTACCACATTAATCCCATAATGTGTCACACTTTGCCAAAGTCTATAAGGTCCATTTCGATAAATATTTTAAGTCACGTAGGTAGGACCCAAACTAAAGTTCCATAACTTTAATTAATTCATTAAGCTAATCTAATTTGTTTAATTTGTTTAATGACTTAACAAATTAAATTACTAACTTGTCTAACAAGCATCGGTCCTAGTCACTGTATGTTGACCGCGTCAAGTCTCGAGTCAACAATTTGACCTTTGACTTTAACTTTTGACTTTGACTCTGACCAAGCTGCAAAATCAATTATTCTCTTTTTAATTATCGATCCATACTTTTGAAGGGAATATTGTGGGAATGGTGTTGTGTAGAGATTTCTAAAAACTCTACAACCAAACTTTGAGAGTATAAATCACCTAGCAAGCCATATCTAATATGAAATCAAAGTAAGAGCGGAAGCATTAAATAAACTAGGGATTTATGCAAGTCTCATTTGGTCCCAATCTTTATAAGTCTATTAAAGTGTGGACCAAAGACTCTCTAAATCCTATTTGAGAGAAAGATAAGATGTTCATACCCTTGGAGCGAATCTTGAAACCAAGAATGGTGTTCAAGTAGAGGGAGTGGTCCCTTTGTTGTTGGCTCTCCCTTTGATGTTGATTCTCAACCTTGTAGCTCTCCAAATAGGTACAAAGATATGCACCTCCCTAAAGCTCTTCACCAAGGATTGAACAGGATGAGAGAATGAGTAGACAACAAGTGAGGAGTGGTGCTAGCACCCTCACTTGATGTGATAGATTGAAGGGGTTAGGGAGAGAGAGTTTGATGTTTTCTCTCTTCCAATTTTGACCAACTTGAAAACCCTAGGATGATAGGATACCATAGCTACATACTTATAGGATCAAAAATGTCACAAGAGTGACAAAAATACCCCCAAGCCCTAGTGTAGCCACACCCCATTTTGTATGTCATCTTTGCTATCTTGGTCCAACACATTAATCCTATAATGTGTCACATATGTGCCAAAGTCCATATGGTCAAATCCTTTTTGAATTCCCAAGTCATATGAGACCTTTAATTGAATAATTAAATTTATCTAACCAATTTAATTACTCTAGTGACTTAACTAATTTAATCACTCACTTGTCTAACGAGTGTTGGTCCCGGTCATCCTTAGTTGACCATGTCAAGTGTCGGGTCAATCGTTTGACCTTTGACCTTTGACTTTTGACCTTTGACTTTTGACTTTTGACTTCAACCTTTGACTTTCACATTGACTTTGACCAAGTCACAAAATCATTCATTCTCTTCTTAATTTTCCAATCGATTCCTTTTCAGTGTGCGATCTTATAGGTTCTAATTAGCGAGTAAGTGGGTATGAATTATTCACTCTGAATCAAGTGTGAATTGTATCCCTTCATACAATTCTCCCTATTGGCGAAGGCTAATTATAATTAGTCCTTACAGGGCTTCCACAAGCCAGGAGCGACATGGCCACCTAGCAGTACGTCATGGCCACCCAAGCTAAAAAGAATTCATTTAGAGAACCTAGTCAGTTTGTGATTACAATGCAATTTGATCATTCTTTAATTCAATACTCTATGTCATATTCTCAAGATATGGTAACTTGTATCAAAATCCCTAACATGACATCTCTAGATTATATTATTCAGTTTGATGAAATTGCAAACATTCTTATTTCAGTTTCCATCCAATACTTTGTCCAAAGATTCATGAACCATATGTTTAGAGTATTCTCTCTTCATACTAAGAGCAGAGATTCCTTGTTGTACATTCACCTATCTCTGTATACACGCTGAGAATCTTGAGGAACAACTTTAAGTCACATCATTTTTATACGACCGTATAGTGCTCTCAAAGAGAAACAACATATACACAAGACAACTGTGATGTCTCAGGTCTAAGGATTAATTTGCATTATCACAACTTAGAATTCTTTATTTGACACTTGTGAGTAAGACTTCCATACAAGAATTCTAGAGTTGATAGCGTTCAGTGGACTCCATCTTCTATAGAGCACCTACACTTTTGTCTTCGTGTCTCTACACGAATGACTTGAGACTAGTCATCCTCTAAATTGAGTAGACATAATGTGTACCAGTCTTTGCGGGTCACCATTGTCCAATCGGTGATCCTATGACGAAGAATATTTTAGGATACGATATTTATATGTATGGAAAAGTCTCGAGCATCTAACTTCTTTAGACCACTTTCTATTTATATCTTAATCCATGGACTTGTTACTTTGTGTACGTTATGTATCTAAAGCAACGTTCTTACCCCTTTGATTATTATATATTATTACCTTAGAAGTATCCATTTTATATTGGCTTCTAGGGCATATATCTAACAACCTTTTTAGTGTGCAATCTTATAGGTTATAATTAGTGAGGCCATAGATAAGAATGGTTTTTCTTCTAAATCGAATGTGGATTGTATCCCTCTATACAATTCTCCCTATTGGTGAAGGCTAATTGTAATTAGTCCTTACAAGGCTTTCACAAACCATGAACGACACCTAGCAGTATGTCATGGCAAAGAATTGAAATATTGGCCGATACACCGATATATCGGTATTTTCAATTGTCAACACCAATTCTGGGGGGATAACGCCATATCTTCCCATGTATCAACGATATATCCCCGATAAGTGCGATATCCCCGATATTTTGTCGATATCCTCAATATTTCCCAATACCCATAACAAAACCCAAAAAAATTCAAAATTTTTGAAGCAAATTGAAACCCAAAATACTGACATAGTCTACTAAATTGAAGGTATGTGGCCGGTGATTAGATATTTTTTAAGGCAATTGGCAATATCCAATTCAGAAGATTTTTTGGAGTATCCATTAATTATTAATATGAAGAATCTATGCACAATCAATTGGCAATATCGAATTTAGGCAATTGGCAATATCCAATTCACTGCCCACATACCTTCAAAAAATCTGACTACCTTTAGCTCCATCAAAACCAGAGAATCATCCAACTGGGATCCATAAAATAAAGTCTGCAAAGCCCATATACCATTGTCCCCCAAACCCCAAAACTTCCCACTGTTATCACGGGAGAAGCCCTCTTTAAATCAGAGGCTGTTTTGCTTCTTTTGGGGGACCAAATCTTCACTCTCTTCTTTCTTTGCTAGCTTTTCAATTTTTATTTAGTTTGTGAGCTTCTTTCCTTATTTGCAAGTTCTCTTTGATTATTGTTTCAGGTATTTGGCTCTCCCTCATGGTATGTATTATTTTTGTGATATATTTGATATTGTAAGTTAATTTAATATATTTAAGTGTGATAGATTAAAAATGGAAAGTGGCAGTGCACGAGTGGAGGTAGTGTGCTTGGTGGTCTTGATGTGGCATGGAAATATGCTCGTCCAATAGAAGACAATAAGCATGGTACAATATGCACATTTTGTGAATCCACATTTAAAAGTGGTGAAATTACACGGCTAAAGTATCATTTGGCCAGATTTGATCCACATAAGAGTAAAGAAGTGCAAAGAAGTACCACCAGATATTAAGAAGGAGGTAATTACATGGATAAAGGATAAAGAGTCTAGCAAACAACATAAGAAATCTGTTGAAGAAAACATAAGATCTACAGCAAGAGGGGGATACATGGGCAATAAAAGTAGCAATCCTGTTAATGATGATGATGATGATGATGATGATGAGGATGGATATGCAGATCCTCCATACGTGCACCTTGCGGAGAAAGAAGATTACCTTGCTGCCATTAGAGCTTTGAAGCAAGAAGAATGGTTTAGACAATGAGGAGTTTACCGAATGGAAAGCAAACGATTTGCAAGTGGTGCTAGTCAACCACAATACCGTTGCACTCAAAGCCTTCGAGACCCATTCCGATCTCCTTCGGTACCAATGCCACACAAGAACACTAGAGCAAAACAGAGAACAATCAAAGGCATGATTAGAAACTTAGCAGAGGTACTTGGAAGATACTGCATCAAATTCTTCGTACTTGAGAATGTGGCTCCTCAAAAAGCAAGTTCCCCTAATTTCAAGAACATGATTGCTGTAGCCCAACAAGAAGGTTTTGCTTTATTCCTTATGACTTCCCTTTCTTGAACTTAAATATTTTAAACACACCAATTGCTAATATGAGTTCTATTATTGATAATATTAAAATAATACTTGTTTATTTCCCTTAACATTTAATTTTAAAAGCAATTATAAAGGTTAATTAAATAATCTTATGCATTTATATTTTTACTTGGTCAAATTGATTTAATGTTATTTTATTAACTTTGATCAATGACTTCCTAAGTAGACTTGTGTGCTATGAGAACCAACTCAATTTGCATCCCAAGAAGTGTGCCACCCAAAGATAATATGCTAGTGGCCAATTACAGAACTTCAACATATCCATGAAGCAATGATGATGAAGGAAGAAGTGCAACTAGCACAAGAAGAAAAGAATTGAAAAGAATGCATGAAGTGCCACACCCATGCCAAAAGAAGAAAGGAAAAGAAGTATGGGATGGAAGCAAACAAGAAGAAATTGAATTCACATGCTTGTGAGGTGTCATCCACTCCAAAGAAGCTCAAATTCAATGCCAATTCATAGGCAAGATGAAGTGGGAGTTAGGTATTGCATTAAAATAGGAATGGTGGTGTTGGAATCCATCATGACGTTTCTACTTCTTAGCCGTATAAATAGAGAAGTCTTCAAACTTCAAAACACACACCAAGGTCACAATCTTCTCTTGAGCTCTCTCTCCTTCCCCCAATTCTTCTAGTTTTAATTTATTTAGTTTTATTTTATGGGAAACTAACTCCCTAGCTAAGGCTAGGGAGAAACCTTTTAATATGAGTATGTAATTTTTATTAGTTTGATCCAAACTTGAGTTTTAATGTGAATTTGTATTTTTGTTCAAATGGGATTTGTAGTTTTTATTTTTAATTAATTGATGAATGTTTGATAATCTATTTCATGGGTTCAATCATGTTTTTTCCATTGCGTAGTAAAAACTTTCATGCTTTTAAAAGAGGAGATAATTACTAAGATTAATAGAATTTCGACGAAGATTATTTTTTGATAGTTTGTTGCCCATGGTACAAGTTATGCTTGGAATACTTCTTAAGGAAATTAAAAAGAGCTTTAATTATTTTGAACAACTACAATGGAAAATATTTTGTGGATCAAATTAATAAGAGTAGCATGCTTATGTTAAAAGTGGAACCCCAATTCCTTAGTGTTTTAATCAATTAAATTTTCTTTAAATCAAATCTTGCTTAAATCTACTTCTTAATCACAATTGTTCTTTTCCAAATCTGTTATTTTCTTTACACCGCTCTTTGTGGATACGACACTCAGACTTCCGAGCTACACTGCTATACGACACCTTCGCTTGGGTTTTGCAAAGTGGTACAAATCAATTGTATTAGGTCAAGGCGTAGCCACAACATCGCCATATGAAATAAAGCATAAGAACTTAGATATGGAACACACAGACATGCAAGCCTATGTGGAAAAGGTAAAGGAAAATTGGGGAGTGTATAGATGCACCATTATGAGTGATGGATGGACTGGCCCGACAAGGTTAGCCATAATAAATTTCATGATCTTCTCAATCAGGAAAACTATTTTTAACAAAATCAGTGGATGCTTCAATAAAACCAAGGATGCAAAGTACACCGCCAAATTGTTGAAGGATGTCATAAAAAAGGTTGGGTCTTCGAATGTTGCTCATATTGTCACCGACAATGGTTCAGCCTTTGTTAAGGCTATTAAGGTTGGAGAGACGATGATGGAGCGGTACCCTATTTTATTGGACTCCTTGTGCTGCACGTTGCATAGATCTAATATTTGAAGATACTGGGAAGCAAGAGTTGGTGGCTAATGTCATAAATAAGGCTAGGAAATTAATCAACTACATTTACAATCATGGTTGGCTATTGGCTCAAGTGAGGATCTTCTGTCAAGGGGATTTGGTCCGACCCAGTGCAACCCAGTTTGCAACAAAACTACATCATCATCAATAGTATCTTAAATAAGAAAGCTGGGTTGAGGCAACTTTTTACAAGTGAGGAATGAAAGTCAATTCAGTGAATCAAAAGATGGGAAGAGAATTGAAAGTTGAGTCCTTGATCATAGATTCTGGGATGCCATGGAAGAGTGCAATCCATCTATGAGCCTTTGTATAGCATCTTGCGAATTGTTGACACAGAGGTAATTCCTACCATGCCTATCTTATATGATATGTTTCACATAATGAAAGAGAAGATTTCCAAAATGAAGGAAAAAAAATGGATTCTCAAAATCATCAATCACAGATGGGATGTCACATTATCTCGTCCATTACATCAAGCTGGTATGTTTTAATCTCTTAGAAAAAAGTGCATCGATTTTTAAATTTATACAACGGGTATTAACTCATCTTCATATTTGTAGCCCACTACTTGAACCCTAGATATCAATATGAAACAGGGGTTGGCCACAATAAAGAGTTAATTTATGGACTCCAACGCATATTTGAAAGGTTGAACCCAACTGAGGATAGAGGTTTGCAAGCATTTGGGGCTGAGGTAAGTGAACACAAAACAATGTCTTCCTCATTAAGTTTAGTTTCCAGGTGATAAGTTTTAGAGATTGTAGAAAGACATTTTGCACTGAGATGGCCGTCAAATCAAGAAAATCGATCCCCCTACCAGAATGGTAGAATATTCTTGGTGATTCTGCACCGGACTTGCAAAAAATTGCTATGCGTATATTGTCACAGACATAGTCATCATCTACATGTGAGCGAAATTTGAGTACATTTACTCTTATTTACACAAAACAAAGGAACCGTCTCCCATACACTAGGCTGGAAAAGATTGTCTTTTGCTATTATAATATGAAATTTAAGCTACGTGATGAAGAGGCCAAAATGAACAAGCACTACTACAAAAAGTGAAAAAGACGACCAGAAAAACACGACGGTCTAAGTGAAAACCGTCGTTGTTTTTTAAAAGACGACGGTTTTATAAAACCGCCGTGTAATAACACATTAGACAACTAAAAAATTGAGTTTCAAATGGCTGTTCCTAAAACACAACATACTTAATTAAAAAACCGACGTCTTATTGAAATAGGATTTTCAAGTGGTAAAATCATAGCCAACAAATAACGGCGGAAGTTATGAACCGACCGACGTAGAAAGTAAAGACGACGATTTCAAAAAAAGCCGTCGTTTTTACCCAGAAATTAACACGACCAAGTTTTCGTATAAGGCGCCGTATAATTACAAATAAATCCACGGCGGTAAAATACAAAATACCGCCGTATTAAATTAATGTACAACTACGGCAAAGGTAAATATAACGACGTCTTTCTCGTATTTCTACGACGATATCTTTAAATCTTACCAAGTTTGGGTTTTCATTTAACGACGTATTATACAATTTAACGTCGTATTTGTCCACTTTATACGTCATACATTATATTTAAACCGTCGTCTGAATAAGAATTTTTTTTAACAATTTATTTCTTGGATTTTGTTATCCTACGTCGGTAGATCTACTTAATGACAAGAATTGAAATAACCACGACGGTTTATATAGAAAACCGCCGACATAATCAGATTATTCTGAGATCACAAGGGTTAGGAAATCTTACAAGATGGAACTCTGTTGCTCATCATAATCTTACCAGAAAGACAATATTTAGAGGTTAATGATGTATGTGTATTTGTGTCTTTGAGATACACAAACGCACATACACATTAACATCCAAAAAATTGCTTCTGAAATTTGACGACGGCAGCCTCAGATTTGCAATCAGAGAGACAATTTTTTGGAAGTGAATGATGTGTGTGCGTTTGTGTATCTACACAAACGCACACACACATCCACATCCAAACAATTGCCTCCTAAAACTTCACGACGGCAGCCACAGATTTGCAATCAGAGAGACAATTTATTGAAAATTGGTGATGTGTGTATGTTTGTGAATCAGATACACAAACATACACACAAACCAACATTCAAACAATTGCCTCCCAAGAGATGAGGTGAGACAGAGAAAGGGGCAAGAAGAAGTTGAAACCCTAATCGAATACTAAAACTGAAAGAACCCGTGAAAAAAAACCCTATTTATAATTAAAAAACCAAATCCACGTCGGTTATATTACACATAACGACGTTTAACAAAAATAATCCTCGTCGGTAAAAAATACATTACGTCGTTTTATTCTTACTTAAGACGACAAGAAAAGACGACGGTATAACAAAAAACAGTCGTTGTTTTATATTTTTATTTGATTTAAATCAGTCACCCAGAAAAGAAACTTTACAAATTCTAGAACATTAATTTCCTCGGGAAAAAAACTATATCTATAAGGCACTGTTTTTGAAAAATAAACTAAAGAAAAAGGGGAAAAAAATTATATTTATAATAAAAAAATAAAATCCACGTCGGTTATATTACACATAACGACGTTTAAAAACGAATCCACGTCGCGAAAAAAATATACGTCGTTTTAGTTTAGTGTTATCCACGTCGGTATATTACAATAAAACGACGTATATTATAAAAATAAACGTCGTAAATTTAAAAAACCGTCGTGTTAAATATTTCTACCATGACGCGAGATATTGAGTTATCGACTTTTATTTAGGAGTTTACTACGGCGGTACCTACAACACTACTGTCGTATTTATGTACCACGTCCTAAGTTCAAATTATCGTCGTAGTTTGTCTATTAATACGTCGTCGTTCTATGTAAACCGCCGTCTTATTACTATGAAACGGTTTGTATACATATACAACTTTTCGTCTACCTGACTTACACATGCACTGTTTCCAAACCCGAGAAAAATTTCAATCTCCCAGAGAAAACTTTTCGTCTTTTTTCCTTGTCAGAGCACTGTCAGAGTATCTCATCGTCTTCCTCTCGTCTTCGTCGTCGCCTCTGAACTTAAACACCAAAATCCGAGAGAAAGCTTTCATTGCACGCAAAAGGTAAGCTTTCATTTCTCACTATTTTTGTTGCTATTTTGCATGCTCATACGGTTTTTGTTTTGAAAATCTTTTTACCTTTTTTCTGGCGAAAATCATTTTTATTCTTTCCAAGTTTGATAAAATACACAGACAGAGAGGGAAAGTTTCCAACTTTGAACACAACTAATTCAACTAAATAAGACGACGGTAGCTTCTTATTTACGTGGTTAAATATGTAGACCACGACGGTTCGTCAGTCGTCCTAGCGTCGTCTTAAAATTGATCTAAGTTGTTTTTAAAATGACGGTCAATTTTTTATTTGCTTGTTTAGTTGCAGGTTTGATTTCTCTGAACCATGGTTTTCGTTTTTCCTAATTTGATAAAATACAGAGACAAAGAAAGTAGGGTTTGGTATCTTATATAGACGACGGTATCTTATTATTGACGCCGTGTGAATGTTCATACCACGACGTTATACTAAGATACCGTCGTCTATAAAAAGATGCCAAAGCTTTCTTTTTTTCTTTGTATTTTATCAAATTAGGAAAAACAAAAACCATGTTTCAGAGAAATTAAACCTGCAATCAAACATTCACAGAGAAAGAAAAATGTTTTTGGTTTCTTATAAATACGACGGTAGCTTATTATTCACGTCGTGTGAATATCCATAACACGACGTTATATTAATATTTACGTCGTGTTAATTGAATATCACGACGTCGTGTAAATATCGCCGTAATAAGTTCTTATTACGTCTTATTTAATATTGTTTCGTCGTTGTTTAAACATTTATATTGTTTCTTCTTTAAACATTTATTACGTCTGATGTTATGTTATTACGTCGTGTAAAATCTTATCATACGTCGTAGTTTATAAATAACCGTCGTTTGTGTTCTAATTTTTTCCCGAAATATTTTCACTTGCAGGTTTGTTTTTCTGTAACCATGGTTTCTCAAGACCAAAGTAAGGACTCTGGCTCCAAAAAAAATGGAGGTAAGGAGCTTGGAATGGTAACTCCTCAAGACAAGCCCTTGAAGAAGATGAAGTTTGTTTCATCTGCTGAGACAGAACCAAGCAGCACGACAACAATTTCTGAGGATTCAAAGTCAGGTCGAGGTATGAGCACAATGCCTCGTGTTGTGAAGAGAAAATTGCAGAAAATCAAGCCAGTTGTTGAGTACAATAAAAGGGGGAAAGGATGTGGCCCTGCACATACTGAGATGCAGTCCTACATTGGTGTGTTGGCACGCTCCAGAGTCCCACTTGTGGACAAGAAATGGGCTGAAATCCCCAAGGATATAAAGGAGCAGATTTGGGAAGCCGTTGACATGGCTTTTGTGGTAGGTCAAGGGGGCAAGACCTCGGTGTTATCTTCTGCTGCCAAGAAATGGAAGGATTTCAAGTCTACACTGACGAGGCATTATATCCTTCCATACATCAAGGAGAGGGAGAAATTAAGCCAACCCCCTGAAGTATATAAATTCATAGAGAAAGCAGAATGGGATGCCTTTGTAGCTTCAAGGTTATCCAAAGAATTTGAGTCTGTGCATTCTCAACATTCACAGATTAGGGAGAAACTTGAGTACAATCATCGATTGTCTCGAAAAGGATATGCTGGTTTGGAGGATCAATTGGAGGAAACCATGCCTGGGGTAGAAATTGATCGATCTACCTTATGGAAGAAAGCTAGACAGGACAAACATGGTAACATCCCGGATCCAAAGGTGGCAGAGAAAGCAAAATTAATTGTAAGCCTACACACTCTGTTTTAAATTTTTATTAAACTGTGTAATTCTTATTACGTCTTATGTTATATTTTTCCGTCGTGTGAATGATTTTACTACGTCGAAATGTTTTAAAAAACGTCGTTAAAGATCTAAATCTGGAATCACAACTCTGTTTTCTGTAATTATAACAAAAACCAGTTTTCTGTAATTATAGCATAATACTTCTGTTCTTGTAGTGAAATTGAGGGAGAAATCCAAGTTCGAAATGAGGGGAGATTTGAGTAAATTGGACATAGGAATGACCAATTTGTTTTGGCTTCTCAAGTTAAACAAGTATTTTTTGTTGACGACCCAATGCATCGTGGTTGGTCGGTAGTGTTATCAATGCCTAATAGAGAATATAATGATGTTATTGGTGATGATGTCTTAGGTGATGTGAGAATTGAGTGTGAGCCATTTACTAGGGGGATGCCAAATGTTGACACATTTGATGAAGTGGTGGTTGAGTTAGGGAGTCAAAATATTCGAGATGGGTGTGAAGATATATGGGTTGAATGATGCTTTATGTAATTGGCAGTGTATGACATTATTTTGTAATATATTGTAATGTGATTTCTTCACTTTCATTATACAGGTTTTGGCCACAAAACAATCAGTACAAAAATTACTGGTTCCAGATTACAAACACGACGGTTTTGATAAAAATGTGAAAAACAAACGTCTGTTCTAATAAATAACGACGTTTTGGAGCATTCAACGACCGCAATATATTTACCGACGTCTTAAAGCAACGTAACAATGAAGAACCACGACGCTATTGTGAAACAGTTATCCAGGATAACACGTCGGACAAGCATAAAGAACCGCCATGTAATTCAAAATAACACGACTCCAATCCCATAATACCGACGTCTAAAAGACGAGAACTTTAACCTGAACGTTACAAAAGACGACGTCGTCATGAATTTACCACGTCGCATGTTCTTTCATAAACGAAGTGGAAAAGGATGAA